TTTCTTGGGGTATTTAAAACTAAAAATTGGCATTCCAGCTCAGCAGCCAATCAGCGACGGTCTAACGCTTAGATGACAATTTGTTTCAAATACCCCTCCCTCGGAAAAGAGTGCAAATGACAATTTTAATTCATCATGTGACACATTGAGAGGGATATTACGTCTTTGAGGGAAATAAAATTATAAAATTAATGGCGTTGTCATTGACTTTTACAATGAAACAACAAAAATGATCACAAAAAACATGCACATTTTATTACAATATTAATTACGTACCAGACAAATTTACAAGAATAAAAGATACTAGAGTCTGTTGAAACACAGTCAAAGTCAAAAACATCATCATCATCTCCACTGACGAATGTGTTGGATCGTACACAATCTCTCAATGAAAAGCACTTTCCGCCATGATGTGCATGATTTGACCTGCAGTAACATCCTTTGACCTAATGGGTCAATTCTGTTATTAACCAATCAGAATGCTGTGTTGTACAGATGCAATTGTTCGGAAATTCCCGGAGACTTTCCGGTAACGCAATGCCGTAGTGAATTGTCAATGTTGAAGTACGATCTTTTGGAATTGATTTCGGTGAATAAGTGACATAGGTAAACCAAATATGACATGAAATATTTACCACAGTTTACTTTTATTAACAAGTCATTGTTGAAGCGTAGTTTATGCACGGTTACCGTGGTTTATGCATTCACAACAAATTCTCGGTGGTCAATATCCACGCTGTATCATATAAAAACGATTGCCAGTATTCGTTAAGCAATGATCCAAGACCAAAGTTTAAATTAGTGGAATTTTGAAGGGGTGGGCGGTTTGCCAAATGTGACCCCAAATATTAAAATTGCACAAAAGTGAGAGGTGGGCATGGGCGTTAACGCGGTCTAGTACGGTAGATGTGAAGTTGCCCTTCAAAATTTCACTGGTGTTCTGTCAATCAGTATTATTCATATTAATAGCATGGATGAACATTTACCTTTTTCTTTAATTCTTCAGATTCTTTTTTAGATGTTTTCTTCAGTCCAACATTCATCTGACCAACACTGAAAGCTTTCAATTTGTTTTGTGATATTGTCTGGAAATATACATTATAGGCTAATATTAGGTACAGTACAGCTCAAAACTTGCTTACCTAACGCGTTGACTTACGTTAACGCCATGTTAAGATCGCGTTAGGACCATGCCAACGCCTCGTTAACGCAGGTTAGCTTTGCGTTAACGCAAGCAGCTCATTAACTTTGATAGCTTTGTTTGCATGCAAATTAGGAGAACAATAGTGTTCCGTGTTACGTGATCGTGTGTGCAACAAAGCTGGTCGAAATGACTTAGTCTGTAGACTTCAGTATTTGAATTTGTGCGAACGTTTTTACAGTTTTAATAAAAAATAAAACTACGTATTTATGTTATTTTGATCGAGATTCAAACATATAAAAAAATGTAGTAGTCACGTTGCAAGACGATTATTTAGAATGATGCAGTACAACATACAAAGTATCATTTTTTTCTTACGTCGTAGGCAAAAATGTGTGCATTTGTTTCACACGCGATTCGGTAAATTACGTAAAGTCGTACAAATTGTACTTCGATTTTTGTACAAATTCGTTAATTCGTTTCTTGGATATATCAATTCAGTTTGACAATAACACCTTTCATTTGTGTTCAGTGAAAGAAGCCTTTCGCAAACCTCAGACTTGTATTACTAGTCTGAGCGCAAACCCAAACAGACGTGCTGTGCTGTGCCGTGTCAGACGGGAAGTGACGCTGACATGTCTTATTTTGTTATGGACGCTTAACATTTTATTTTTTGCGCGTACATAATATAGTGTACTGATTTCCGCCCTGAATTACATGCTACATTTTTACTAATACAAGATTTGAATGAAAGAAACCACGGTATAAACCGGGGATATTTAAGGGGAGAGCAGGAAATCGAACGAGCGGTTCACCACAGTCATCGCCGCGGACTGCTTATAATTTGGGGTGGCCACTATGTACCGACTACAACAGCGGTCATATGAAAAGTGTGAAATACGTACTGAACAGTTTCCTTTGAGATTCCACGAGTCTTTGTTTCAAATAGCTGTTTTTAAATTGAGCAGTTGCGAGCATCGCTGGCGTGAAAATACTAAGTACATAGTAATATCGGCCCACATATTTTAATAAAGTTTAAAATAGCCGAGCCTTCCTGATTCGAGCCTCTTGTTCATTTGACAACGGTAGCTATAATTACAAAATGAACAAATCTGAGAGAGGTCCACATGTAGTACCTATATATGTAATATCAAAGCAATTGGACTTGCGTTTTTTAACAAGAAGTCGAAAATATCACTTTATACCAAAAATGACGAAATTATTCACCAAAATTAGAGAATTGAAGATATGACCATGAAATGAACAAATCTGAGAGAGGTCTACCCAAGGTACATATACACCAAGTATCAAAGCATTCAGGCTTGTAGTTTTCAAGAAGAAGTCGAAAAAGTAAAACATTGACACGGACGACGGACAATCACTCATATGATAAGCTCCGCTCGACAAAGTCGACAGCGGAGCTAAAAAGTAGTAGTGATCTTTTTCAACACGTCTCTTCTGTATCAGCAGGAAGAATGACAATAGCATAATCCAACATAAACCGTGCTCTTATATTTTGATACACTAACTATACAGTCAAGTATAAAATCAGTTCACTCTAATTCCTTTACTTTGTATAATTTATCAGTGAAATTTCGTCCCGGGTTTCATTAAAACATAATAGCATGATCACAACAACTACAGCGATGTGTCTATACACAATACACATGTCAACTCGTCCCCATACTTGAATACTGCAAAGTATTGTAGCGACATGTGTGGCAACAAAAATACAGCCCCAAGCTCTAAAAACACATTGAACAAACAACCTGATAGTATGTCTTACTTTTAACGAGCCCTGGGCCAATCCTTCGCTGTGCAATCCCCATGGTAGCTTCTTGTCAGCCATTTTAGCTAACCTTGTGGTTTTATCCTCGCCTCAGTCCAAGAAAATTAAATAAATAATTAAAATCACCTGATAATGTATACATATTTTAATTTAATATATGTTGTTTGGAATATACACATATATGTTAGAGAATAATAGTAATGATAATAATAACAAAACACAGCATTTTGAAAAGATATATTTGAAAAAAAAAAAAAATTTTACTGGACGAGGATAAAAGGTTGTCGATAGAGGGCGAGCTCACGTTTGAGGGATGCTGTTGTCAGTTCACGTTGTGACCCCGTTGTACCCATGTTCCCAATAACGATCCTAGGACTTTCTGACGAGTTGCTTTTAGCTGTTCTTTCTTTTCTTAGTGTAAAGGATATCTTGTCTGTAGCTGATGTAAATAAGAGACTTCATGATGTCGCCTCGGACTTGTCTTTATCCAGAAAGTACGTGGTCACAACCGCTAAACAAGTGGAGTTGGTGGGGGGGTGGGGGGGGGATGCAGTTTTATAAAAGTTTTTTTTTAGTGACTGTGATATGTGATCACATACTAGTATACACTCTGTTAAATAAGATTGAAGACCGGTGCTGACAGTCGATTGTTGTTGACATGAGATATGGCTAGTCATTGGCAATACAAAAAATGACCAATTTTCAGGCAATTATAAATAAAACAAATTGTTGAATTTTTGGTCAGATTTGTTTTGGCTCACTTATGTGGTTCAATATGTTGATTGTTGTAAATCACATAAACAAAATTACCAAAACAATACCATTGTTTATCACTTGTTGTTAACTTGTGTTTATCAGTACCTGTATCTAACTTCTCTGGTTTCTTCTATTTTTCTAGGTTTGTATCTGACTTGTCTTTTTATTTTATTTTTCTAGGGGGGTGAATTTTAGTAGATGTTATGAGGTGACTAATGATGATGTCAAGTCCTTTTTCCAGCTCCAGTCACCTAAAGCTGTGCGAGTGTTGAATTTTAACCAGTGTTATTGGTTCAAATCAAAATTCATACAAAATGTCTTAAGAAAATGCAATAATGTGACTGAAATTGATCTGCGTGGTTGTCAGGTGACAGCTGTTTTACTCTCTGACATTCTAGAGAAAACAAAGAAATTACAAACTCTTGGATGGAGCACTGAGGGCAACTTCAATGAATCTAAACCTTGTGCTGAAACTTTGAAAAAATTGAGAAAGTTATGGTTGAGTGTTCATTACTGCTGCCGTTCATTACTTGGTCTATGCCTTAATTTAGAACTACTACATTTAGACAGTACTTCAGAAACAAAGTGTGAATGTCGTCAATCACAGAGGGTACATCATTATCCAAATCTCAAAGAGCTTATTATGTTCACTAGAAATGTTCCTTGTTTGCCATTGCTATCATCAAAACAGTTAACTCAAATGAGAAGAATAGCTGTACCAGATGATATTTATGGACATTATTTTCAATATAAATCACAATCATTACAAACTTTAGATGTTGATGTGATGAGGTCGGTTAGTAACATCAGAATGGGAACTCCAGCGTTGCGCATATTCAAAGAATTGAAATGGGTAAGACTTGCCTGTGGATTTGATGTTAAATTACTCTCAAATTTGGTGTCCATAATTGAAATGAATTGTGACTTACAAGGGCTTAGTCTTGTGATTGATAGAAGAAAGCCATCATTCAATTTTCTGACATTGGTAAGTGCATGTTACTTATATTGCCCCCATATGGTACTCTTTGATACAATTACAATTTGATACAGGAACTGATGCTATATTTTCATGTGATATTATCCTTACAATTACATACATTAACGACATGGTGCTATATCTTCATACATGTATCTTAGTATAAAACTGAATACCACTCCCAGTCTGGGAACCTAGATATAGCGCAAGTAAACTTGAAAAACTGGGATCTGAAGGCATTTTTCAAACTGAAGCAGATGCTCTACTCGGAAACTTGAGTCCCTATCAAAATTGTTCTGAAAATGTTGACATTATGATCAAACCAGTACTCTAATATTGTGCAGAAATATGGACATGTGACATAATAAAAACTAAAAACTATTTGATGCACTTATTGTCACCAATGGGAAAAAAATTACATACTGAAGGTAAACAGCAGGACCACAAACTTTCCTTGCTTATTAGAATTGGGATGGTACTCCTAATTATATGTATCCGACAGTTGTTTAAATATTGGTTGAGATTGTGCAATATGTCTGAAAACGAATAACTCGGACAGCCAAAATTGGGTAATTGTATTGAAACAATTCTCAAAGATCTTAATATGGGACACGAGTGGGAAAAGAGAAAGACTAATGAAAACAAATGGTCTTGACAATTATCTGCTGACAGTAAATAACCCACTACACAGATCATCATTGACCAAACTAAGATTGAGTGCACATGTTTTACAAATTGAAATAGGCAGATACCATAAAATTAACATTACTGAAAGAAGCTGTCCTGTATGCGATACTAATGATATTGAAGATGAAGAGCACTTACTGTTAAAATGTCCGTTATACAAACATGAAAGACGCATCCTCCTCAACACAATTAGACAGTTTTCCAAGGGCAACACTGATACAAGCTTTATTAGTGCACAAAGAATATGGTCATGCTAAAATGTCTAGTAAAATACATATATGAATGTAAGAGAAAACCTAAGAGAAAGCAAATAAAAACAAAAAACTGCCTCACAAATGCCTAAATAAGTAATTCTTACATTTACCTTATTATGCATTTCTAACCCATTTTCAGGCAAGTTTGTTGTTTTTTGTTTTTGTTTTTTTCTTCAAGTGTAATGTTTTTTTTCTTCTAATCATTTTTCTCATGGGATGATAACCATGCTTTATTATTATTTTATTGATCTATGTCCATTTTTAGGATACAATTTTGATACAAACTATTACTGTAGAATACTTTATTTTTGCTTGGTATTAATTTTTGCTATTTTCACTGAAGGAATGATTCAGTGAAAATAAAATTCAGCGAATATACCTTTTTTCCTATATTTTACATTCAACTTGTCAAAAATCAGTGAAAATAAATTCCATACAAAACACCCAAAAAGTCTATTCAGCAAAAATTAATTCCAGCTAAAATAAAGTATTTAACAGTATATTCCTGTGATATTGCCCTTACAATTTGATACAGGAACAAAAGGTGCTATATATCTCAACGCCTTTATAGACAGCCAAAATGAATGGGATAATAAAATGTCAGCGGGCCATTTTTCCGCTTTCAGTAAAATTCAACAAAGGACCTCAGTTGTTCATGAAATATGTAAATACTGCTGTCCCTGAAACTGTAAATATATAATTTAGCTTTCAGTAAACAAGGAACAACATTTCTGAACACAAATAAAATATGGAGCATGCTAAGAAGCCTTGCACAAACACACACAATTTATGATTCCATTTATGTTGTCAATAAGCTAGGAAACATACAAGGAGTATAGGATCTCCAATTTATCATAATTATCATAATCATATTTATTTAACTTGTGTAGTAATGTATGTTTCTATAGATATTTTCATGCACTTATAAATATAGTCTTTACACTTTGATACAGGAACATAATGGTGGCGTTTTACTTGCATCACTTATTGAGAAATGTCATAATCTTGAATATCTCAATATCACATGTCATTGTCATCTCCGTCGTGATCAACAAATTATTATCCAAGAAGTTGCAGATAACATCGCAAACAATGAAAGTAAGGCTATATTTTTTTTTTTATAGATTATTGCAACAAGTAAAAGTGAAATTCAGTATTTTTTATGTGCTCTCTTTCTTCTTTTTGATGGATACATTGTGACCTCTGTGGTTTTATAAGTGTAGTTTATTATGATCCCTTCTAGAGAGAGACTAACATGAGATCAATGAACCACTTGTCTGGAAATGTTGTAAGGGCAGACTAATCTTTACATAAGGTGAAAGAATCACTTGTTTGGAAATGTTGTAAGGGCAGACTAATCTTTACATAAGGTGAAAGAATCACTTGTTTGGAAATGTTGTAAGGGCAGACTAATCTTTACATAAGGTGAAAGAATCACTTGTTTGGAAATGTTGTAAGTGCAGACTAATCTTTACATAAGGTGAAAGAATCACTTGTTTGGAAATGTTGTAAGGGCAGACTAATCTTTACATAAGGTGAAAGAACCACTTGTCTGGAAATGTTGTAAGGGCAGACTAATCTTTACATAAGGTGAAAGAATCACTTGTTTGGAAATGTTGTAAGGGCAGACTAATCTTTACATAAGGTGAAAGAATCACTTGTTTGGAAATGTTGTAAGGGCAGACTAATCTTTACATAAGGTGAAAGAACCACTTGTCTGGAAATGTTGTAAGGGCAGACAAATCTTTACATAAGGTGAAAGAATCACTTGTTTGGGAATGTTCTCAGGGCAGACTAATCTTTACATGAAGTGAATGGACCACTTTTCTGAGAATTTTGTCAGGACAGACTAATCTTTACATGAGGTAGATAAACTACTTGTTTGGGAATGTTCTCGGCAGACAAATCTTTACATGAGGTGAATGGACTACTTGTCTGATAATGTTCACAGAGCAGAGGCACCTTTACATGAGGTGAATGGATCACTTGTCCAGGACTGTTCACAGGGCAGAGGGACCTTTACATGAGGTGAATGGACTACTTGTTTGGGAATGTTCTCAGGGCAGAGGCACCTTTACATGAGGTGAATGGACTACTTGTCTGGTAATGTTCTCATGGCAGAGGCACCTTTACATGTGCTGAATGGACCACTTGTTTGGAAATGTTCTCCGGGCAGAGGCACCTTTACATGAGGTGAATGGACTACTTGTATGGGAATGTTCACAGGGCAGAGGCACCTTTACATGAGGTGAATGGACTACTTGTATGGGAATGTTCACAGGGCAGAGGCACCTTTACACGAGGTGAATGGACTACTTGTTTGGAAATGTTGTCAGGGTAGAGGCACCTTTACTTGAGGTGAATGGACTACTTGTATGGGAATGTTCACAGGGCAGAGGCACCTTTACATGAGGTGAATCGACTACTTGTTTGGGAATGTTGTCAGGGCAGAGGCACCTTTACTTGAGGTGAATGGACTACTTGTCTGGTAATGTTCACAGGGCAGAGGCACCTTTACATGAGGTGAATGGACTACTTGTTTGGGAATGGACTACTTGTCTGGTAATGTTCACAGGGCAGAGGCACCTTTACATGAGGTGAATGAACTACTTGTTTGGGAATGTTCACAGGGCAGAGGCACCTTTACATGAGGTGAATGGACTACTTGTCTTGGAATGTTCTCATGGCAGAGGCACCTTTACATGAGGTGAATGGACTACTTGTTTGGGAATGTTCACAGGGCAGAGGCACCTTTACATGAGGTGAATGGACTACTTGTCTTGGAATGTTCTCATGGCAGAGGCACCTTTACATGAGGTGAATGGACTACATGTCTGGGAATGTTCTCAAGGCAGAGGCACCTTTATATGAGGTGAATGGACTACTTGTCTGGTAATGTTCTCATGGCAGAGGCACCTTTACATGAGGTGAATGGACCACTTGTTTGGGAATGTTCTCAGGGCAGAGGCACCTTTACATGAGGTGAATGGACTACTTGTATGGGAATGTTCACAGGGCAGAGGCACCTTTACATGAGGTGAATGGACTACTTGTCTGGTAATGTTCTCATGGCAGAGGCATCTTTACATGAGGTGAATGGACCACTTGTTTGGGAATGTTCTCAGGGCAGAGGCACCTTTACATGAGGTGAATGGACCACTTGTTTGGGAATGTTCTCAGGGCAGAGGCACCTTTACATGAGGTGAATGGACTACTTGTCTGGTAATGTTCTCATGGCAGAGGCACCTTTACATGAGGTGAATGGACTACTTGTCTGGTAATGTTCTCATGGCAGAGGCACCTTTACATGAGGTGAATGGACCACTTGTTTGGGAGTGTTCTCATGGCAGAGGCACCTTTACATGAGGTGAATGGACTACTTGTCTTGGAATGTTCTCAAGGCAGAGGCACCTTTACATGAGGTGAATGTACTACTTGTTTGGTAATGTTCACAGGGCAGAGGCACCTTTACATGAGGTGAATGGACTACTTGTATGGGAATGTTCACAGGGCAGAGGCACCTTTACATGAGGTGAATGGACTACTTGTCTTGGAATGTTCTCATGGCAGAGGCACCTTTACATGAGGTGAATGGACTACTTGTCTGGGAATGTTCTCAGGGCAGAGGCACCTTTACATGAGGTGAATGGACTACTTGTCTGGTAATGTTCCCATGGCAGAGGCACTTTTACATGAGGTGAATGGACCACTTGTTTGGGAATGTTCTCAGGGCAGAGGCACCTTTACATGAGATGAATGGACTACTTGTATGGGAATGTTCACAGGGCAGAGGCACCTTTACATGAGGTGAATGGACTACTTGTCTGGTAATGTTCTCATGGCAGAGGCATCTTTACATGAGGTGAATGGACCACTTGTTTGGGAATGTTCTCAGGGCAGAGGCACCTTTACATGAGGTGAATGGACCACTTGTTT